ACACGGCATGATGCCATTAAAATTGGAAAATCATCGATAGCTATTGCATTCAAATTACATACATATATAATTTATACAATTTTGATTTTTTTTATACCCTGAACCCATTGAAAATGGGAAATCAGGGTATAATGGTTTTGTGAAAAAGTATGTAACGGGCAGAAGGAGGCGTGGCAGACCCCACAAACTATATATATTCTTGATCAGCGTGACGACCTGAGTCGATATAGCCCTGTCCGTCTGTCCGTCCGTCCGTATGAGTGCGTCGATCTCAGAAGTTACAAGAGCTAGAGAGCTGAAATTTGGCATGCATACTCGTGAGTACCAACGCTGTACGAGTTTGCTTTATTTTTTCGATAAATCGTCCGATAACTTTTTTATCGAGAATAATCGAAAAATTGATTTTGTTTTTTTTTAGCCTAATTTGAACACTTTTAAACTTGGAGACTTCAAATTTACGTTGTATATAAAGTTAATCGATACAAAGATTTTGTAATTTACAGATTTTGGATACGACGCCCCACGCCCCACCCTTTAGAATGTACACACAAATTCACCATATGATTACACTCTGAAAGTTTCATTAAGATCGTATATCTACAAAACAAATTATTCGACAAATAAATTCTCATAATATTGCCCACACTGCAGCGCAGCCCAAGCGCAGCCGCTGCTTACTGCGCAGTTAGCAGAGCGCAGGCTTATGCATGCGTGTGGATGCATGTGTATGTATGTGTGCATAAAAGAGGTGCAGCATAATTATAATATCAGCTTAGAGGGTTCAGGGTATCTCCTAGTCGAGCAGTCTCGACTGGAGCCTTCTTACTTGTTATGTTTGTTCTCTCTGAAAAATATAATGGTACCGTTACCTCTCTCAGCACGCAGAAATAAGCGGTTGGAGTTTTTGCAATGCGTACTTTTGTCCTCCATTGTATGTATGTAATTTAAATGCATTGATGCAATGATCATAGCAATAGCTATTGATGATTTTCCAATTTTAATGGGATCATGCCATGTTTTTTGTTGCGCACTAGACTTGAAAATTGCACTATATACTCTGGTTGACAGCGTTTGGGCTGTGAATGAGTCTTCTGCAATCGATATCGCCCGACTGAAACGTTCTTACTTGTTTATTGGCCTATGGGCGCAACCATTGTGCAATGGTTTTCCAACAGGATAATGCCAGAATCCATGTGTGCAGACGTACAAAGGAGTGTTTGGAGGAATTTCATGTTGATGTCCTTGACTGGCCAGCATGTTTTTAAGATCTCAACCCGATAGAAAAAGTCTGGGGTAATCTTGCAAGACGTTTGTATGCCAAAAATCGCCAATTGGAGACAGTTGGATATCTTAAAACGGAAATTCTAAATGAATGACAAAGTTTCGATAAGGACCTTTTTTTAAATTTAGTGGTTTCAATGAGGAAGAGGATTTTTGAGTTAACTAAAGCAAATGGAGGCCGGACTAAGTATTACCATTACTTTTTCGAATTCGGATTTTTTTTTTTACCAAAATATTAATATGGGCTATAATATAGTGCTGTTTTTCTTTGTTTTTTACTCCTTTTTAAGAAATCGATATTAAATCGTTAATTTTAAGTGAAAAAGTTTTTTGTCATTCATAATTGAAATAATGAACTACTCATTTTTGAAGATTTTGAGGAAATATGCCATTTGGGAAAAATTTTCAGCCGATTCGTTTAAGTGGATTAAAAGTGGGCTATAACTATGATAAGCACTGTATAAGTTATTCGTCACCACATTGTTTAGATTTGCTAGATAGCGTTCGAGTAGTAGAGTATTTTCACAGACCCGCTGTCGAGTTTTTGTGGTAGACTACTCTTTTTATGCCCTGGACCATTGCTCGAAAATAACTGTTAACGATTTTATTCAGAAATAAACGAACCCGAATATTTATATCATATTTCAGTTCTCTATCATTAATAGTGTCCAAAATATAGCAGATTTTCAAAAATAACTATATCTTCCAAATTTCAGTTTTCTAGGTCTTCAACTAAAATGATTTCTGTTATATCAGAAAATGTATTATCCGATTCATTCTACACGAAATGTTTATATGCAAATAAGTACATATGTTGATTTTTGGGTATGCAGAAAAGCAGCTAAGAATTATTGAAATATCAGCTTTTCAAAGGGTTCAGGCAATCTAGGGGATTCCCAACAATACTAATTGGATTGGAGCTTACAACGTGATTAATTTTTTTTATTTTTAAATTGTTATAGATACCAAGCGGCAAACCAAGCTCAGCATAACGGAGGTCGCCATAGAAACTATGAGTTAGACTTGGAACGAGATCATGCACTGCCAACTTCTGCACCAAACGCTGATATTTTAAAAAGTAATAATAATCCCACCTATCCGAATCCAAATCGYCATCACAGCAGCAGCAGTCATGATAGAGATCGTCATCGGCACACTATGCAGTACAATTCAACACCAATTCCATCAAGTAATTAGATTAATTTTTTAATGAATTTGAATATGAATTAACGTAGTATTTGAATATATATTTTTTTTAATAGTTCCTAACTTACTAAAGAAAATCAGCGGTCAGCCAACTATACCAATGTATCCTGGAGATATACCGTCATATTCGCCACCATCAAGAGCATTTTTTACCCCGCCATTACCGCCGGAATATCAAAATCCATTCGCTGACAAACCCACCTTACGGGGCACAAATAATGAAGGCCTTATATCGAATACAGTTCCGTTTAATAATAGGCGCCCAATACCGCCGCCCAGCTTGATGCCCGGTCATGAAAGGATACCATTTCGTCCACCCGATTTGGCCGCGTCGCATGGTAACGGAGATGGTAATTCAAATCACAATACAAATGATAGTTACTTTGCCAGTTCAGTGGATCCGAAGAAGCCACTTGTCGCGACCAGCATAGAGGGAGCTTTGGATATTGCCGGCGATCGTAAAAAAGCACTCAATACACCGGCACGCAATGGAAATGATGGCGGTGCAGTTGAATCATCAGATCCTAATGCTAAAAATCGTAAAACAGAAGATGTGGGCACTTCTAATAGCAAAGAAAATTCAAATAAAAGGCAAGAAGTATTGCCGAATATCAGACGCATACTGGGATCAAATGGTAAGAAAGGTGACATTCCTGCAGTTTTGTTGCGCCATGTGACACAGCGTCCTATGGTCCCCTATCATCAGCCTCCAGCATCGCCGATTGTTTCGGTTGATAACGTTGAAACTGCAAATGGTAATGGCAACAGCAGTAGTATGACTGATGATGGTACATCTTCCGCTGCCAGTCCAAATATAAATAAGAGTAAACAATTGTCTGGACAATTGGATTACAATAATAGTGCTGCTGCAAGAGATTCGTTCGGAAACAATGCTAGTCAGACAACAGTTGCAACATTATCCGCTTCAACTTCAATTGTCGAGGCAGCTGCTACATCGTTTACGTCAGCATCGGCAACAACAAACCCAAAGCCAACTTTAAAAAACATTTCAGCAGCAGGGAAATCTGGTCAAGATGCTGGCGTAATAGGAGTCACTGCTAGGGAAGGAGATGCTGTAGGTGCTGCTGCTGCAGCGGCATCTGCAAATACCACATGGACATGGGCATGGAACATACATATATATCTGTCAGTCGTATTATTCACAATATTAGCAGTCTATTCGCTTTACAAACTTGTCACTTATAACAAATTGACACATCTTTTCGCTCAATCATATTTTGTTTACATACAACTTATACTAATCACAATTTGCATAATGCGCATAATTTACTTGTGCGTTGACGCATACAATATTCATGGAACATTCCAAATATTTGCAGCAGAACTTCTTTTAAATTTGCCATCAACATTCTTGACAGTTGCATTTGCAGTGCTTATACTTTTTCTGTTTCTCAAGTCCCTCAATCACAAAAATAATCGGTACTCTGCGTTAGTTAGGCCACTGACTGTCGTTGTCGGATGTGGTGTTCATGTTGGACTCTGCATTACACTGCATTATGTCGAATCATATACACTGCAAAATCACCATATGTACTATCAGCAACAGCAACAGCATCAATATTTTCGTCGCCAACAGCAGCAACAGCAGCATCAACAATTGCATTCGCAATCACCATTTTCTGGTAGCCCATCGACCAGTTTGGCCAATTCGCCTCCTCCTCGTGTTCTTTCACTGATATGTCAAATAATATATATTTTCATTTGCTTTAGTTTGGGTCTACTATATCTATATTTATATCGCATTCTAAAGCGTATATTAAGAAGCAAATCCCAAAACTATATACATGGCTATCAAAATTTGTCCTATGCGATTCATATAACAATCGCAACGGCCTTGCTGTTTGTGTTATTAGCTGCTCTACAAATCTTTGGCGCTGTTTGCATCTCAGCGACACGCCCTCTTATGAGCCAGGCAAATATTCTTGAAATTGACTGGATGCAGTGGGGTTATCAGTTTTCATTGCGTCTAATCGAAATTGCAATCATAACACTAATATCCTGGGTGACTGGCTTAAAGACCAGCCTGGGCAGCAATGTCAACGCTGCCATATCCCTCAATAGTGATGTACGTATTGCTGGACAAGCTAGTGGTGGTTTTGGTGCCAATGCCACTGGTAGTGTAATCAGAGAAAAACATGCTGTTGCTGCTCCTGTCCATCACAACTCACATTCAAATGTAGCGAACTTCTTCTTGCCTTGCACGTCGAGCTCCAGTCAGGAACAATTCGAAACCGATTATCCAGCTATTTGCAACGCAAATACGAATTTACATACGTACACAATGCGTACGGGCAAACTTATCTATGATGATAGCTATGCGCTAAACTCGTTGGCTGGACCATCGGCAGCGTCTCCAAGTGGCGGTGGCACCGAGTATCAGCTGCAGGAACCTATGTATCAAAGACCTTACGATACGGGTTCCATCAATCATAATATTACCGCTGAATATGGTCAGCAATCATCGAGATACCATCATATTCATCATAATCATCATAATATGCGTGCGCATGAACCAGCGTCCTATATGAGTGCAGATTATATGACCGATACCACAACAGATCATTACGAGAATCCAAATTTTGATTTACGCACGAATTCTACGGGTGCTGTCGGTGTGGTGGGAGTTGCCGTCGCGCAAACACAGGCGAAAAATACTGTTAGCTCTGAATCAGCTTCTGGATCGGCTTCTGGGTCCGGTTCGTCCGGTACATCCGGTACATCGCAACAGCAAATGTTGCTATTGCAGAGTGATAGTTGCTATTCTGAGCCATTACAAGAGAACTCCAGCTACGAGTTCAATAATTTTGAGCGGCCTGTTTTCAAAGACAAATCTATTGACAGTAGTCCTCATCCGACCGATGAATGCTGGCCAGAAAGGGAGAAAGAGGGCCGCAAGATCACAAAGAGTCGTGATAGAAAACATAACAATAAGCTCGATGCGACAACTGAAAATCCAGAACGACGTAGCTCCAATTCAACAAATTCATGTTCTTCATCAAATGGTATACGTTATACCAATTATAATACATATGAAAGTGGTGGCCATTACAACGGTGTGCGTAAAAGTGGTACATTAAACAACATTGATACTTGTTCAACAATGCTTGCTGGTCAAATTGGAGGTATAAGTATAGCAAGTGGTCCTGGTCCTGGGCCAGGCCCAGGACGTGCAATTGCTGTTATGCCGAGCATTAAACGAGTGAATGGTGCTCAGACCTTAGCACATAATGAGCGCTCGCATTATTTTCAAAGGAGTGGGCGCAATATGAGTACCATCAATAATAGAACATTGCCATTAAATGAATTTGAGTTAGCTCCGAGTGTTTGCAATGAATTGGCGCTAAAGCAACATCAAATAAAACAACAGCAGAAACCACACCACCATCCACAGCATCATTATAATCTTAACAATTCTGAAGAGGAAGATGAGGAAGAAGAAGATATAATATCTGGCAGCAATGTCGAGTGCACGAACTTGATAAGTAATAGTGAGCATGGCTATTGTATAGCAAGCGATAACAGCATAACAACAAGCAAATCTCCACACCTGCATGTACAAAATAATACAAAAATATCATCCATTCATCAGCATCTAGCACACAACAGCCCCGATCTAAAGGCAAATGTATCAAAAACGTCAGGAGATACTGAATCACAATCATGCATTTCGGATAGCATGATTGTTGCTGATCAGGGCTTCCTGCGCTTTCGGGGAGGCAATGAAGAGCAAGTGGAGCTAGGTCATGGTAAGCCAACGAATGAAGTTAATCAGCCAAGTCGCAGTGTGTCTCTAATTTGCAGTAGTGTTAACGGCATCAATTGCTAAGCCATTGCGCTTCATATATATAAATTGACCGCTTACTGCCAATTGTAGTTAATTCGTCACTTTCTACTCTCTTCAAACTTGTGATATACATATTAATACATATATTACATAACATACATAAATGCATACATAATACATACATACATAAATATTACATACTCGATACTAAAATGAAGAAAAAAATAAATTATGTATTCATATTCCCACAAATTAGGTAAAGCTCGAATACAATTATGATTAATCAATATTAATTATTATTTCTTGTGTATATATGTAAAATATATTTTTACAGCATATAAGAAAATCAGATACATACATAAATTATGAATTTCAGAACAGCTTTTTATCATTTGACAGATTCAAAAGCAGAATAAATCATTTTATGGCATTCATTCAGTCTCTAGCTGCAATAGCATAAAAAATGCAAATATACGGATAGACGCAAAGAGATTGCTCAAAACCAATATACTAATATCACTTTTCTGATCAAGTATGAAAATAGTTAGTCGTATGTATATGTAAAATTAATGATGCCAACACTCTTCTTTTATTAACTGATAGTATTCACTAAATTAAGTTGAAATACAAATAAAAATTAAACCTATTTTTTCAATGAATGTTTATATTTACTTTCGAAATATATATTTAATAAAAGTGTGTATGCTGCGGTCGGGTGCTACCGCCTATTTCTAGTTGTAAGACTTTAGAAAGAAAATCACCCCATTCTTTTGTTTGTCATGCTTTTAACTTTATGAATGAGTATTTATGTTAAATTTGAATTGCCATGTTTCTCCAATAAATATCACAATCATTATTTTTACAAATCTTAAACACATTAAAGAAAATTCATAATTGTCGGTAAATGTTGATTGCAAATGTAGAATTGAATTATTATCGTAATATTCTCAGTCGCAAATTTTGAAGGCTGGCTTTAAAGTGTAAAGAGGTGCTCTAATCACTAAATATTTTAGTATAAGTGAAAGATCAAGAATACGAAAAATTTGTCCTTGACAAAGACATATACATTCAAGCATACGAGGAAGCGCTTTAGTAAGTAGTAAATATTTCTATAAAGCTAATAAATTGAACATCTTATAATTGTTAATTGAAACACGATTTTCGGTGAACTAATCTATGCTTACAGCGTAATTATTTATGATGTATAGAAATAAAAAATTCGAAATAAAATAGGCTATAAATTACACATAATGTTAATTCTGAACGCAAATAGTACTGATTAGATAAGGCTTATGCAATTTTAATGTAAAATTCTATCAACATTAAATAATTACAAAAAAAAAAAAAAAAAAAAAAAAAAAAAAAAAAAAAAAAAAAAAAAAATCTACCCATTTTTCTGCTTTAAAGGATCACGTATTATCACCATTACAATATATGCTAAGCAGAAAGCAAAATGATAAATTTAGCACTACATAACTACTATAGCACTACATTACTACTTTAATGAAATAAAACCAATACATTTTTACAATATGCTAATAATAATTAAAACAAGTATTCCCATTATTATTACACTACTTACATAATAGAGAAATATGTATACATATAATAAACAGCATGTACATGAAAAAATTAATCTTATAATAAAATAACTACATTTATTATACACCACTTATATTTATTATGTATGTCAATACGAATGGAATATTTAAATCTTATATGCTTGATGCTGTACCATTCGAACTTCTTCAGGAGAATAACATTAAAAGTGAAGTATTTAAAGGTTCTTTAGCCTAGCGGGCACGGCTTTAGTCTTTTTGTATATGCATACAGTCAAAAAAGTATTGACACCCTTGAAAAATCAAACTCTAAGAGCTGTAACTTTTTTTTAAACACAGCTATAAATAAATGAAAAACGGTAATTGTTAAAACCATGCTTTTCTAATTAATTACTAATAATTAACAAAAAAAATTAATTTCTAGTTTGGTTCACTGGCGCAGAACTAAAATATAAATATAAGCAAAAATGTTCGTCAAAAAAGTATTGGCAAAAAAGGCGTAATCAGTTATTTACATTTACTCCATCCTTGACGAGTCCAAATTTAATATATTAGGGTCTGATGGAGAACAAAAAATCTATCGGAAACATAAGAAGGAGCTTCAGGAAGATAACTTGCTCAAAATGATTAAGCACGGTGGAACCAATGTGATGGTTTGGAGGTTTTAATTTTTATTTCAAAACAACCACAAAAAAGATCTGCTGCTGCTCATACCGCTCTAGCACATTTGTTTTACTCTCATCTCGCTCTGTTATCATCTTGCTCCGACTACCAAGGCGTGAAACCTGTAGTGGGCAATAGATACTTATGTAATTTAAGCTACAGACCCAGTAGCTCAAACTCAGCTCAGCTACGACGAGAGCCCGAAAATATGCACTACTTTAAAAACTGCAACTTCACTACAGAAGTTAGGTTGCTGTCTTGCTAAGACTTAGCAACTCACCAAAGTTAGTGAGCAGCTGATTGTCCGCTGCAATTTCCAGCACTACTAACAGCTGTTAGAGTGAATGCACCTGCTTTTTTTATTAATTGCGCAAGTGTGATGCCTTAAGTGACAGTGCACTGTTAAAAGACACAGTAGGTTGCGCAAAGAGCAGTCCCGTTACTTTTAATTTTAACTAACAGCTCTCTTGTGACGTCACATTATCAGATTTTGCTGTTATTCCAGCTGAAGCTTGGCAGGCATTTCAGCAGAGATCGACTAAGTCGTCCAAAACCACCAAAATTAACTATATATAAGGAAATTTCAATAGTAAATACCTTAAAAATGGTCAATCATTAATTTTATTACCATACAATAAAGAAATGAAGTATATAATGGATTGAAATAGGAGGCCTCTTGAATGAAGCAAAAATGGCCAATAAGTCAGCAGGAATGGTTGATGGATATAGTTTATATGACAATTTACACCTTGAAGCTGCATCAATAAAGGTGCTGCTCACACTTGCTGTCATATCAGAAACATCCGGTAGAATGAACTAAAATTTGTATATTAATTGTCAAGTCGTAAACTTGTATGATTATGAGTATTGAAACCTAAGGAAACACATAATCTGCCTGAACCAGAAGCTAACAATGCTGCATCTATGGCCATCGGATTTTTAATATAAGGAATGAAATTAGTACGTATAATGATGCGGATTGATGGGAAATGCATAATACTTAGTAGTAAGTTTTTAGTTTTACAAATTCAAGCCTTAGATAGTAAGGTTAAATCAATTATATGCAAAAGTAAAAGTGGTCATGATCAATAACTGCCGATTCGTGAATCTATATAGAACATGTGATGGGCGGCTAACCGTTTTATTTAGTCTAAAGTTTTAAGACAAATAACAGTGTCAAAGTTGCTTGATTTTCATACAAATTCAAACGCGCGCCCACCATTTTCCAAAATAATGACGTCACGCTGTCAAATCCGCTGTTTGCTTTACATAAGCTACTATCACTCAATCGTGTGCATAACCTACTATCACTCAATCGTGGTGACAGTGTGTGTAATAGAGGTGCCAAACTATCGATGGTGGACCCCATCAATTGAGGACGATAATAATTTCGAAACCATCGAAAGCGGTCGATAGTACCATCGGTAGTGGTCGATAGTCGCAATAAAAAACAGTGATTAGCCTTAAAAATTTGAACTTATATGAACACTTCAATTTTGTGAAATTACATTTTAAGATAAAAGCTGAATTGACTTAAAAGCTAAAACCTAAAAACTATTAAGTTATGTTTTTTATTGTAGTGATCGATTTTTGTTGTCTGCAAATAAGTGTCTTTCACTCACATAATAAAAAAGAATCAGACAGAAATTGTTTTTGTCGCGTATGGTTTAGCTCGCTCGCGCTCTGAGCGAGACAGTTATTTCAGTCTTCGTTTCGCTCAAGTCAAGCACTGATCGTTTGCTTGAGTTAAATGAAGTGTCTTTTGCGTATGTATGGGCAATCACACGCGATTGTTACGTTCTATTATATATGTA